GGTCAGAAATTATGAGAAAGCATCACTTTTGCTGCTGAAGAACTCATTGAAGGATTAGCTCCCAGGTGTGAAAGTTGACAGTTATCTGACAAAATGGTATTAGGAAGTTATGTTATGATTTAAGTAAGTAAACAGATTATGTAGTAAGTTGCACATTAATAACAAGTAAAATTGTCATTAAGTCCAACCCTACTCGAGATATGACACATGACCACCCTTTATCTTCCCACCCCATCAACCTTAAACCACTAAAATTTAATAACATGAATCTTTCTAATATACAAACCTTACTGCAAAATTTCAGAAATTTTCGAAAGTACAGAGTAAAGCTTCAAACAGAATAAACAAAATCATGCCCCCCCACACACATTAACATCCAAAGGTCAGTGACAATATCCATGCTTTCTGATGCGACAAGTGCATCTAACAGAATTTTTCGCACCTATTTTCCGTTATGCAAACATAACAGAATTATGTTTGCATAACGGAAAATAGGTGTGAAAAATAAACAAAACACACCACTCTGTATCTGGCCAGTGCAAGGATCATGTTTTCCGTGGCCTGCAGGTATGAGGATAACCGTTATTGTGGCAGCAAGTGCAAAGTTCATCTGTCAATGTCTGTCAGTACTGTACAAGAATCACCTCTTCTGTGCCTTTCAGGTTCAAGTATCATTTTTTTTTTCTTTTGGCTCTGCTTCCTTTCTACCATGATACAACAAAGTCACATGATGTCCTAGTGTATATATATATATGTTTAGATAAAACTAATATGGTATAGAAAGTTATTATAAATTGCAACACAGATATCAGAGTGTTACAAAGTAAAACTAAATGTCAGAGTTGGACTACCAAAGACAGTCAGAGGCAGAGATGTAATATACATGCATATGCGCATACAACTTTTAAAGCATTCATTTTACAGAGGGTGCAAAAATATGAATACAATTGTTACTATGGAAAAAAAACATGCAGGAAAAAACATTAAAGAAAAAACGTTTATTTTTATGCATAAATTAAGTCACAAATAAAGAATATGAAGTAATAAAAGGTAAAGATGATTATGATGATAATAATAATAATAATAAACACTAAACATCTGCATTTCTCAGATTCACAGTTGTGAATCTGAGAAATACACATGTTTAGTGTTTAGATGATGTTTAGATGAAATACAAATGTTTAGATGATGACTTCTGCATTCTCTTGTATATATAAAGTATAAAATTTATTTATTTTTTTATTTATAAGGGCATTAAAATACATTACCAATAGAAAATTTAAAAAATTACATTAGGTTATTTTGCTTAACCTTTTTTTAAATTCAAATAAATGACCTTGAACTTTTAAGAATATTTTATTTCTGCAGTTTCATTATTCACATTACAGTTATAAACTTTATTACAATTATCAAATGAATGCCAAAATTATAATAAAAGTTTTTTAAATTAAAATTTAAAATATGAAAAGAGTATTAAAAAATTATTATAACATATTAGAATTTTGTAATTGGTGATAGAGTTAGTCTTTAAAATTATAATTCAAATTAATAAGTCTACCGAAAAATCATTTGATTCAATAAGAGTTAAGTTATTTAATGAATAATGAATTAGCATTATAAGAGACATATTACTGTATTATATGATAATAACACTAATAATTGCTGTATAAACAATGGACTAGAGCAAAATTTGAACCTAAAACTCTTATTAAATGTGTAAATGAACTAAAATATGGAATGAAAACTCTTTCAAAGACATATATTAATTTTATATTAGAATATAAGCATAATAATTATTTATTATAATCATAATTATTCATATTTTGTGCTAATGATTTCTAGTAAAATTATAAAACTTTTTAAAGATATCTTCTAACTTAATTACTGGTTCAATTGTTCTCTAACCTGAAGCAAACCTTGGGTAAGGTTGAAAGCATTTGTTGGATGATTTATTAAACGTTTTGTTACTAGAAGTAAAGATTCTTTAGGGTTGTCATTAATTTTTTTTCCTATGTTTTGTGCTAGCACACTTTTCCTATAGACAGACTTATCAAATAAGAGAGCCATGAGACAGAATTTTCTTTTATGTATTTATTATGATACACATTTTGGATCTAATAGTTCCCTCCATAGTCATGATTCATAGATCTCTTTGTGGATTTCTAGGTATATGCACATACAGTATTAGTTTTATAGTAAAAACTTCTCAATATATGTACTCATACACAATAAAATCCACTAAAAGGGTACAATTTATCCTGGACATACAAATTTGGAAAGAAAATTATGTACTATTCAATACAAATACATGGAATCTGATGAATCCATATTGCATCATGGTTTTACACTGGAAATTTACAAGCTACATTTCACTTATATATCAGCATTTACTTTGCCTTTGGGTGTATTTCCCTCCAGCTCATATACATGTGTTAGTTTTTTTTATTTTTTCATTCTCTATCTGTTAGGAAACCCTCTCAAGATTCACGTATCATTTAGTTTTTTATTATTACCTATTTTTATCATTTTTAAACATTTGAATAGTTTTCTTTAAAACATTTTCTTCATTTTCTCGAACTTTAGTATTTTCTTTTATTATTTTACATCCATTTAGCGACTACAGATTTATCATCATTATTTTTTATTGCTCAGTTGTGCTCCATGAATCTTGTTTGGAGTTTCCGCTTAGTTTCCCTTATATAAATGTGGAAATTAGTGCTAACTGCACTTCAGCTTATATACAATGTTGCTTCTGTTCCATATTCCCATTTATGGTTCATTTTCTTTATTTTTAATTTTTTTGGCTAATTGATTATGCTGTTCCAATACTAATAGAATACCACTTTTCCTAACTTCTTTGTGTTTTTTCAAATAAACTATGTACATATATTATTTTAATAAATTTCATATCCTTGGTATTTTCTCCATTCAGTTTAGAATTTTGGATATTTTTTAACCACCTATCAATGATTTTTCTGCTATATCCATTAAATAAATACGTTTTTATGACGTTATTTATTTCTTTTTCTTGATCAGTTGTTCTTTCTGTGATTTTCTTTATAAATGTAAGGTTGCCGAATGAAAGAGGAGTACAATTTATCCCGCGTCAGAATGAGCCTAAGGGAAACTGTGTATGGGGGCAGTGGCAAAGGAGACAAATGAAGAACAAGTGTTTTACAAGAGAAAACCCGTTTATTTGTTCGAATTCATGCTTACATTGATATTGGACAATTCCAAAATCTCGGTGTTCCTGTGAAGCAGTGAGAGTTCGGGTGATCAATCGTAGCCCGGGTGGACAAGAAGGATCACTGGATGATGCAGATGTTCGGTGTTAATCTGCGGTGTCCTAGGTGATCGGCGGTAGCACAACACAATAGATAAAGCACAACCATAGGCTTAATCCAGAGGAGATTCTCCTTCGACCTTGAAGTTCTGATTTTTATAGTTTTTTCCCACTATTTGCATTTCGGATTGGTCCCTCGTCCCATTCCTTGCTTCCTGATTGGTCTCTTCTTTGTCTGCAGGTGCAAGATGAAATGTTTTGGGTTGCAAGAAAGGTCCAATTCGAGGTGTCCATCTGATACCTCTTTGTCAACTCTGCTTGGTGACTGTTTATAAAACAATAACACCTGCACTCATAACTCAGGCCATTGTTTACCATTTTTTGACGTCTAAGAATTTAACGATCATTTTCATCTTTCATCTATCAAAAATTCCCCTTTTTTTTTTGTTCGAAAAGGTTTATCTCGCCCAACATTTTATAGACTCACAAGTCAAAGATCTACCTGTTTATGAGTCCTCGTGTTAGAGTTTGTCTTCCGCTAAGACCTTGACAGATAGTTTGACACATACTTGAACCATTCCGAGTCTTGTTGTTTACATCTTGTGTCGCGCAAGAATTTCACAGTTTACTCGAGTTCAAACTTCATCTGGGAACCCACATAAATGTATTGAAAGAATACATTCAATATGTTTATAAAGAAAATCTTAAAAAGAACAACCAATCTTTTTATCAATAATGAAAAGAAAAATGATTCAATTTTACTTATTGAAGTTCTATCATTATAATTTCTTATGTATCTTATGTTAAATAGTATGAAATAAAAAAGAGAGAAATAAAAATTAATGTAATTTAAAGATAGCAAAATTAATTTCAATATTAAAATATATTTTTCTTAATATATTCAATATAATTATTTACTGCTAACAAGTTAGTTTGTTTAATAGCATTAAATTATATCATATAATTTTATTAATTATATTTATTGAGAAATGGTTGCTATATTTTCAATAACTTAAAAATTTCATTGAGTGAATAATATACTGTACTTGAAAAATGCTTAATGTCAACTTTTGTTACATTTTATGTAGAAAGAAAATAAAAGTCTGAATTTTTAAGAAAAGTCTGAATTTTTAAATATAAAATTAAAATTAGAATAACATTTGATTTCTATTTTATGAAGTTATTAATGTATTTACTCTTCTGTTTTGTAAGCATTTAAATGAAAGAAATTGATAGTATTTATGGTTATATATTATTTTAAATATATTACTAGGAACTATTACAGTATATTTATTAGAGTAAGGTATATTTTCAATTGTAAGCATTGTTTTGAAGAATTATAAAAGTTTATCTGCTATCTGGTCAATATATATTGGTCACTTTATAACAAGAAAATTTATTAGAAAATAAAATTATAAAGTTACATGTAGCATTTAAGTTCTTAAAAAATATCTTCTTCATATATGATGATTTAATTTCATATTAGAATAAATGATGATTGCTAATATTTTTTAATAAATATAAAATTAAAATATTTTATATATATTTTTATTTCTTTTTTTTAGAATATTGCTTAATGTTAATTAATATTTTTTTAATATTTTGCAGAGGATTGATGTAATAATAATTATTGTTATTAAATTTCAGCACCTTACATAGGTTTAAATATGTATAATTTTTTTTTTATAAATCATATATTTTAATACATATATTTTAGACAAGCAAAGACAAGATATTTCAACGAGGTGTGAAGTTTTCATTAGCTGAAGCAATACCAGATTGGCCAGTTCTCAGTCGAGTCAAAAGATCAAAAGAGGTTTGGAGGATGTGATAGATTCTGCTCCATCATCCTCCTGTTTTTTATCTTTTGATCCCTGCTTCATTCTTTATTCTTTTGCAATTCTCTTATTTTTATCTAAAAAACTTGATCATTATTTGAATGAGCTATTTCTTATTTCAATACAACATAACTATTAATTAGATGATTTGCCTTAATTTTTACTATAATATGTTCTTTATAAAAATCTTTATCAAAATACTGTAATGTAACATGAAATAATATATGACATATTAAAACATGTAAAAATTACATTAATTAATTTTATTTCTTAAAGCAATTATAACAACTAACAAAGAATTTGTTTCTAAAATTTTGTTACATATAACTATATTCTATATTACAAAAGTATAAACTTTGAAGAAAACATATTAATAAAAACAAATATTTAATTAAATTTAGATGTTTTTTAGGAATGATAAGACATTAATTTTTCACTTATATAAACTCTTATAAGAGAATAACAAAATAATGTATTATATTTCATTGAATATAATACTAATATACTGTATTGTATGTAATGCTGTCTAAAAACACTCAAAAAGAATAAATCTTTAGAATAAATATATGAAGATAAAATATTAAATATGAACAAATTTAGATATCTGGTTTTGATGTTAAACACTTACAAATGAAAAATAATACAGTGTACCAAGCAATATAATATTTTTTTATAAAGAATATATTTATTTATTTATTTAATGACTTTTTTCTACTGGAATATGCAATGTAATAAATGGAAAAAAGATAAAATCTGAAAAGTGAAATGATCTTTACATTAGTGAAAACATTTTTTAAATAGCAAGGATCTCATTTAGTAAACATAATAATACTATAAATAAAGACTTTAGACTTTATCAAGATGCAGAAGAAAGTTTAATAAGTATTTTCATCAACGTGATAATCTCTCCAGATCTTATAATTCTTTTTTTATTCCAAAAAAATTTTTTATCAAAATTGCTTCATAGATATTTATTATACGTATGCTGTTTTTTTCAACCTTCGATGGTCCATAAAAAAAAAGACAAGTATAAATAACAAAATGAATTTATTACCAAAAGTTAGTACAAACATGGTTACTTTTCGACATAATCACCGTGAAGATTGAGGCATTTGTCATATCTGTGGACGAGCTTTTCAATCCCCTCTTCATAAAATGTTGCCACCAGTGACTTGAGATGGGCCTTAACATTGTTTTGAAGATCGTCATTAGTTTCAAACCTCTGCCCTCCTATCCATATTTTCAGTTCAGGAAAGAGCTGGAAGTCACTCAGCATTAAATCGGGGCTATATACTGGGTGTTTAAAAAGTTTCAAGCTGGGTGGAAGTCTTCACATCTTTTATGTGTGAAGACTTCATCTCTTTCCTGAACTGAAAACGTGGCTAGGAGGGCAGAGGTTTTCAAAACATGATCTTCAAAACAATGTTAAGGCCCATCTCAAGTCACTAGCAGCAACATTCTATGAAGAGGGGATTTAAAAGCTTATCCATAAATATGACAAATGCCTCAATCTTCATGGTGATTATGTTGAAAAATAACTATGTCTGTATCCCTAACTTTTGGTAATAAATTCATTTTTTATTTACACTTGTCTTTTTTTTATGGAACATTGGAGGTTGAAAAAACCTGCCCTCATATAATTTTTTTGATAATTGTTAAATATTGATATATTAAAATTTAATACTGATAGAAATGGAACCATGGGAGCATGTCAAGTTATAAATTATATGATGCATATTCATAAGAGAAGTGCTATTTGGCTTTAAACAATCAAGAATTTTTACTTTTATCACATTCTATACACTTTCAATTACATTTCAACATAGTTGCATTGCCTCCATTATTGTAACAAGTTTTTGTACACTGTCTTCATAGAATGTGGTTGCTTGTAATTTTAGCACTTCTACACTGCATTTTCAGGTTATCATTGGCCAACTGGAAACTTATTCAGGTGTAAGAAGAGATGCAATAAGTCATTTGGTGTCAAATCAGGTTTGTACAGGGGTGTATATTTTTTCCATCCAAATGTGATGATGAGATGAATGTGAGCAGGCAGTGTGTGATGTAGCATTGTTGTGAAGCAAGAAAATGCCAGCAATCAACATTCTATATCATTGACTTCAACCTCTTATATCTGAAGAAGTTCCTGTTTAGTCAGCTTTTTGATAACAATGATGACCTAAAGTTGCATTGCAGAAGTGGATATCATGAAGAAGGTATAAATTAAAATCTATCACTGTACTAAAGTGATATGGAGTTGTACATCTTTGAAATGAGACAACTCACAAGCTGAACACAATAAACTTTATTGAAAACTTAACACAAGACAACAAATACATACATGTCTGTACAATTTGTATGACATAATCACTTTAGTTCATTAAGGAAATACTTCCTTATCTTCTAAGGGAGGAGTGCCAGGATAGGTTTCACCAATACAAAAGAAACTATACCTCTTCTTGAGTAATTCTGTCTAGCACCTGGAAATTATCTTATTCCTATCTGCCAGATTATATCAGACTATAATATGGCTTCTATTTAATAATTAAATATTAAGTAATTTTATTTAGAGGTAGACATTATGCCATCTTTTGATCAATTTATTAATTATAACAAAATTAATATTTAATTTATAAACTGCTGGAATGGTTTTAATCAAAAATCGGGTTAATAGATGTTTGTATTTGTATCCTATCCCTGTTCTACATCTAGAACTTTTCTCTAAAAAACTTATTGAATTCTTCCAATTGAATGCATTTGCATTTTACATTCAAACCATGTTTTGAATTGTTCCAAAGCATTTTTTCTAATTGAACATGTCTTCCATTCCTTGTTCAAACCATCTGTATAAAACTTGATGATGACAGAAAAAACATTATTTTTTCTTTTATCCAGGATCAATGATCATCATCTGATCCTGACAGTATATGAAAACTTGTGTTCCATTGTAATAAGTGCTTTAATAATGAAAGTTATTATATGGAAAAGTAGTTTAAATTGTGCAGAATGTGATAAAAATACTTATTTTTGAATATACCTTGTATGATACACATTTTTTCTGGAATTATTTTAATACGCTAATTTAAACAAATGATTATATTAATATAGAAGCATTTTATTTCTATACTAAAATACAATATTTTATCATTCTTAAGAATGCATTTGAATTTAATTAAATACATTTTTTATAGTGATATGTATGTTTCATAAAAATTAGCAAATATGTATTTAAATTGAAAATTCATATAAAATTAGACCAGTGTTATTCTCTGATTTTATATATGTAATAAAAAATATTTAGCATGTAATAAAAATTAAAATTGAATTATTCAATATTGATAAAGATTTTTATTTAAATGTTAAAATATTAAATTAGACAGTAACTTAAATGCTTCAATGCTTTACTAACTATGAATTTAAAATAATGCATGATTTTGAATTTTTCTCATACAGTTTGAAAAAGTACATAATTATTAATAAAAGAACTTATTTGAGAATAATCAGAACTAGTAAAAATATTTTTATTCTAGGTTTGCATATTTAGTAAAATGAATGTATTGAAGATATAAAATTAATCACATAAGATGTATTCAACAAATTCCCAAAAATATTTAATACCAGTACTATCTTGATGTTAACTTGACTGTACAATTTATCTGAAGCAAAATGGTTTTTCTGCTCCTATTTCCAGAGCAGTTGTCAATAGAGAGTACTTCTAGCACTGACACTCTTGTATGAACTATTTATAAACAACTTTAAAGTACATTTCTGGGACTTCACTGTATTTGACTTACTAGTTTTTTTTTCTTTTTTACATTTTTCACTGTTCATTTTATCACTTGAGGCAGTCACCTCACTGCTACACCCATTGAACCGATTCTATTTAAAATAATACATAACATATTGAATTTAATTAAATTGAATTTAATGGGTGCTTCAATAATTGAAAAATTGATCATAGTTGTATTGAAGAAGAGATCTACTTTTTTGTTTCAGAAATTATAATAATCTTCAATGTTCAGAATTTAGTTTAGATAATTCTAAATTATTATTCAGAATTTTTTATTTTTAATATAATCATAATAATTACAAACACTAAATTAAGTTATTCAAACAGATCTTTTTCTTCCATTATTTGGAAAATAATGAAACTTTAGGAATTTATGACATTTAATTTTAACATTATTTAACTATTTTTACTTTTACTAAAACATAAGTTACAGATAATCTTTATTTGTTTTTCTATGCTTTTTACTTCTTTGAATGTTAATTTCTTACTGAGATTTTTGTTGAGAGTTCAATGGTATAGATGAAATCCTGCAACAAAATCCCACAGATCTCTTTGCATAGGAGTCTATGGAATGAAAACTCACATAATAAAATTTGTAATAGGTTCTTTTGACTTGAATTTACTCTTCTAATGAAAATTATTTTCTGATATATGTGAGCTTGTCTTCAATTTGTGTTTCTGTACACAAAAGGTGTATGACACATTAACTGACATCACTACTGTTCATATTTTAATAGCAGAGTAAAAGTATTCTCTGATCTGCAAATCAGATAAATTCAATTTGTAGTGGTGGCTAAGATTTATTTCATGTTAAACATTATAACTTTTATACACTCCAATTATACTGTAATGGAAATCAATTAATTCTCTACATTACAATGAGAGATTATCTATAGCAATCAACAATTAGTAATAATATTTTTAAGTTGCACTTTCGTTTGGGAATTTTTTGAATTCATCAAATAACAATATATGTTTTTAAGTAATGATTAAATAATTTTTAGTTGCATGTGATTATCTCATTAAAATTTTAAGTGCATGCAAATATCTCATTACACTTTTTAATAATAATAATCATCTAATTAGCTTAATTGATGATTTGATAATTTTTCAAAAAGCAACTATAAAGCAATTTATTATAAGATCTTTAGTGCTTTTAACTTTTTCAAGCAAATTATAATTAAAAAC